GCCTTGGGCGAAGTTGCTGACGCGTTGTTCGACGACGTGGTCGGTGACGCGGATGGCTTTGCCTTTGTTGGTGTCGTCTTCGTCGGCGACGTCGCGAGTGACGCAGAGAGCGGCCGTGTGGAAGGGTGCTTGGGGGATGAGGCCGTTGGGGAAGGGGATTCCCAGGAGACCGGCCACGAAGGTGGTGATTCCGAGTAGCCAGAGGTCCCAGTGGAAGCCAGCTGGCTTGCGCAGAGGGAACTCGGTTCCTTGGGCGATAAGAGACGAGACTATTTGGTCAGTTACCCAGCAGACTATTTGCTATCTTGTACGCTGACTTACCATTATGGTCAAAATAGAACAAAATCGTCAACAGTACCGCAAACGGGATAGCAAGGAACACATCGCCGACATTGATATCCCAAAAATGGACCAGCCACGGGCGCTCTTCCGTCGGGAAAAACGCCTTGCTAGTGGGCAGTCTTGCCACCTCGACATCCCTCATATGACCGATATGAACGAACCCAGTAAAGAACACAATGGTCAAGGGCGTGCCATAATCCTCCAGGAACTTGCGAATCCACCGTTTGAAGAGACTGCTATTACCAAGCTCGCCACAGATCCAGCCGCTCATAAGCACCAGCAAGGCGACCATGATACTGAGATATGCGGAAGTCTCACCAGCGGTTCCCCACTGCCTAGTGAGGACTTGGATACCCTTCTGGAGGTAGATAAAGGCGACATAGAAACCGAAGATATCGCACGAGAAACGGGTGACATAAGTGAGACCATTACAAGCATTGGTAATGGCAAGCAGCCAATGCATGATCAACGACCATCTACAATCATCAGCACACGAGCTGTCAAAGAGCGAACCGACAGAAGACTCACATCCCAATCCAACACATAAACGCCAAATAATTCGTCCCTCGTGGCGAAATGATATCATAAACCGTGTAATTAAACACAGTAATAGGACCTATCCCACCACCAGATCAACAACAGACCTAAACAAAAGAAAGAGATCGAGATAGAAAAAAAAAAACATACCAGTAACACCCACAATAACCAACGGCTGAGCCGCAAAGACCGAAAACACCACCGCAGCCAACACACTCGCCAGCAAGACCTCATTAACGCCATAACTCTGGTCGGTTTTCTCAAACATATCCAAGGAGAAAGCCAGCGCAGGAAGAATACTACACCACAACACAACACAATCAGCACCACAAAACATCACCAGACAATATATAAAAAAAAAGGAGGATTGAACCCACTTAGCAAAATACATATACACCGTGGCCGGTACGACGCGATAATCCCACGCATCAGTCCAATCACTCCAATAGAACGGAGCACGGCGCTTAATATCCTGAATCATGCCGCGGAAGAGATGGATTTTGTACCATTTCTCTTCTCCTTCTTCTCTCGCCCCAGCATTACCAATCCCACTCCCCGTGGAAGACTGATACCTAGTAGTATGTTCATGATGGCTGTTGTGTGTACTGTGCTGAGAGCGAATACTGCTCGTCGTCGTTGTCGCCGGGCGGAGATGTTGCGATTGCGACTGCCACGGCCGGCGCGAATGCGAAGATGACGGTGGGAGGGTATCTCCTCCCCCTCCTCCTCCGCTGCCGCTGCTGTGGGAGCCTGAGGTGGAGGCAGATGGAGCCTGCATGGTTCTATTAAGAACTCGGCTATCCCTCAATATACTACAAGATAACAATAATAATGAGAGTAAGTATACGTAAAGGGCCTAGTAAGCTCTCTCTCACAGCTGCCCCGGCGGGAGAGGGAAAGAAAAAAGTCTCTCAGCCGGAATTTTAACTGGTTAACTTGATCCGGGGAAAGGTAGGTTCGAGGAATGAGAAGAAGGGAAAAAGTGTGGAGAAACGGCCGGCTAGTTAGTACGTACTGGCTAAGCTAGCTAGCTAGCTCGACTGGACTTCCGGCGGCGACGGTTGCGGAAAGCTCACGAAGGTGGTGATTTCTAGAAAAGCGAAGTGGATGAAATATAACCATTACTCTCTAGTCTAATAACAATTGGGGACACCGAGAGATAAAACTATGATGGCGGGTCTGTCTTTATCTATGCTAGTCATGTTTCTACGCGGTAGCGACCATGCTAGTTAGTGCCTAACGTCATTGGCTTTAGCGAGCGAGCGACGCTTTTTTTGCCGACGGGCAGCCATGCGTACATTTTGCAGACGGATTGATGTATCCCCCTGCAAACTAAGTCTCGAATTTATCGAAAAGTGGAAGCAAACAATTACAGCAGAACGCTTGATGCTGGACTACCTAACTATTACACAGAGAGAGTTGTTAAAACTATCATCGCCAGTTTCCTACGTGCACTATCAATTTACCCGGGCCGAATTCTTCTACCGGTGTCCCTAGCTATCGTTTGCATCAACATTAACCACTTTTATGTCGCATCTCCTCTAAGCGGGAGGGGGAGGCGGGGGAGGCTGGTCACTAGGCGGCTGCATCATCATGTCAGTAACCGGTAGATTCAATGGGATAGATAGCAAACATACCGGAGGCGGGGGACCCTCGCCAGGAGGCGGAGGGGGTGGGCTGCCAGAGCCGTAGTACATCGACGGCATGCCCGGCGGCGGAGGAGGGACACTCAGACCCGGAGGAGCGCCAGGGGCACCCATGCCGGGGTACGTAGAGTAAGCTCCGTATCCGTACGATGCTTGTCCGCCAGGGGGCGGCGGGGGAGCAGCCTGTTGCCAAGGAGCAGCAGCGGAGGCAGCAGCAGCTCCAGGTGCACCATAACCACCGTGAGAGCCATAGCCATAGTCGCCGCCACCGCCACCGCCGCCGCGGCCCTGTGCAGCCCATGGAGGCGCACTGCCGTGGTCGCGGGAGCCGTAGTCGTCACGGCGGTCGCGGCCTCGTTGCTGCCAGGGAGCCACGTCACTGGGCGGAGGTCCGCGCTGCCATGGCTTCACATCGCGGTCATCATAACCTTGATCGGGGCCAGCCTCGATCCGACGAGGGACATGGCCGTCTTCGCCGGGCGCGCCACCAGACAATTCTTGCATGAGTTGCTGAGGGTTGTTAGTACCATGTACTGTTTACTTGGAAAAAGAATGTGCGGGAACATACCTCCATCTCACGGTCGACAGCGTCACCGCCGCCAATGGCCCTGCGGCCGCCGAAGCCACCGTTGTTGTTGCGCCAGTCAGAGCCGCGCTGACGGTCGGGACAATCACGGGCCATGTGACCAGCGTTACCACAGACGCGACAGATGATATTGGCGGTGAAGTTGCGCTGCTCAGGACAGTCGTACTTGCGGTGTCCGATTTGACCACCTGTGTTTGTTAGCTATAATTCTAAGTAGATTATGAAGGGCACGTACAGTTCTGGCAAGCCTGGTTCTCGTCGTCACGGAGAGTACCGTTGAGTGCAGCCAGCTCTCGGAGCTGATTCCTCTTGAGCTCGTTCTGACCCTCGGGGATCGAAGCAGCCTGTGTCCATTAGTACCTGAACTTCATTGTACAACATCTTTGGGGTACATACCGTCTCAATGACATTATGCACCAACTTCTTCGCCTTGTTAACCTTCTCCTCAGTATCCGCCATAATCAAACAGTGAAGATCTTCTTCCTGGTTGCTGGCATGAGCGGCATCAGAGCGACCCTTTCCTTCCTTGACGGAACCTTTACCACGAATGGCAATCTTGGCACCAGACTCCGACTCCATCTTCTTCAGGGTATTACCACGAGGTCCTATGAGTAAGCCAACTTTAAAAGATAGCAAAAAGCTAAGTGTTAGTGCAAGCTGTTTTAAGTACTTTCAGGCGGGTGAGTGTGAGCAAAATGGTGCAAGTGGGAGCAAAAGAACAGGTAGAGCAAGGGTTCGCAAGAAGCGAGCTGGAGATAAACAACGCCCGGCGGCGAAGTCTTCATCAGAAGCCCGACTCGAGCACAGCAGAGTCAAGGAGTGCAGGAGAGTACAAATACAGCAATGGTTAGGAGTTAGAGGGTTAGTTATCATACTGAAGTTAATCTCTGGATAGTCATTCACAGGCACATAGACCTTCTCCTGGGTCTTAGTAGGACGTCTGTAGTCAGAAGGCGGGTGGTAGTTAGGAATAGTCTTCATCGCCTTTTCGACGAGTTTGTGGCGCTCATCCTCGAGACGCTTCCGGTAGCGGTATTCTCTAGTGTTTACACGTCTGCCAAAGTTATCGTACTGAGGAGGGGGAGAGGGAGATCTAAAACCGTTAGCATGTTTTCCAGAAGGGCGCAGCAGCCATCATCAGGAAGAAGGGACGAACCTATCCCCATCAGCCGGCACGACATCATTAATTCTCAGCTTCTGGCTAATCTCCTCAATCCGCAAATGCAGGGTATACGCTTCCAGCTGTTCATTGGTGAAATTAGCCATGATCATGGTCGGCAGACCCATGAGACCGGCGGCCTTGTTTTCCTGCGCATCGCCCCAACGGTTACGCTTCTTGCGCTTCTTGACGCCGTCGGCGGGGGGTTCAGCTAATCAAAGCATCAGCAGCTGTTTAATATTGAAGGGCAGTTAGAATATTATGAACTCACCTCGGACAGGGCTCCGACCACGCTTGTAGGCCGAGTCACCAGCACCAGGCATAGAAGCAGGCGTCGCGGTGCGACTCTCATCCTCCGGGCCATCCTCACCTCCAAACCGTCTCCGGCCCAGAGGGATGTTATTGGACCCGGTGATTCCCTGGTTGCGCCAGGCCATGATGAACGACTATTAATCCCTGTTGTTAATGAGACCGATATACGAGCAAAAAAGAGATATTCTTTTTCTTTCTTTCTCCGCAGAATCCTTGACGAGAGGACGGCGATGCGATGCGACGAGAGAAGCTGGGGAGGGAGATGTGGCAAGGCTTTTAGGCCGGCACGTGGTGATGACTAAGCGGGAAGCAGAACAGAGAAGTATGCACCTTCACATCAATACTATCTCACAACTTTATCATTGCAAGATCAAACAATCATATACATCATCACTAACTAAATAATACTAATTTAAAGCTAATGCTTAGCATCCGCCTTCATCCCCTGCTGAATCCACCCCTTCGACTCCTGCGCAATCTTCTCCGCCTTGGCCTTATCCTTCAAAACCTCCTTAATAGTATGCGGACTCGGCACATGTCTACCCTTCTCGACTCCCTCCCTAGCAGCCATGCGTTCCTCCCACGCCTTGAGATTCGGGAACTCCTCAATATCGACTCCCGCCCACCCGGCCGCAGCAACCCAACCCCAATGCGAGATATCCGCGATACTGACGTGATCACCAACAAGATACCCGGACTTGGACTTGGCGAGGTGCGCATCCAGCACGCTGTATAGCCGTCTCGTCTCGTTGATGTAGCGGTTCACGCCGTACTCGATGCGCTCGGGCGCGTACCGGTGGAAGTGGTTCGCCTGGCCTTGCATGGGCCCGACACCGGCGTTCTGGAAGTAGAGCCAGCTGTTCTGTTCGTAGTATTCGCGGGTGCCCTGCGGGTAGGAGATCTTGTGGTCTTTATCGTATTGTTCCGCCAGGTAGGTGAGGATGCTGCCGGATTCGAAGAGGCGGATCTTGGATCCGTCGGTGAAGGTGTCGGTCAGGGCGGGGATGCGGCCGTTGGGGTTGATTTCGAGGAACCATCTAGATGGTGTTAGTGGTGATGGGGAGAGGTTTTGTTGAGGTATGGAGAAGGTAGCGTACGGCTCTTTCTGGGTGTTCTTGGTGATATCGATCTTCTCGACTTTGTAAGGGAGACTGGATTATCGGTTAGTTGATTGCTAATTATCGGAGGAAGATATTGACATACCCTAGCTCCTCCAGCGCAATGGAAATCTTAATTCCATTGGGAGTCTGCGCTGTGTAGAGGGTGATGTCGGGACGGCTCATTGTGGTAGCTGCAGCTGTAGCTGTACTACTATACAGAGAAGAAGAAGAAAAAGTAGTAGAAGGGATCCGTGAACAGGAAATCGAGTTCAAGTAAATAGATGATGATGGTGATGATGATACAAAAGAAGATGCAGTGCGCCGGCGAAGACAACGGGCATTAAATAGGCCTCTGGATCCTACACGAACCCCGCTCATGACCGACCAAATAACTACTACACGATGATTAATGCAATTGAACTGCTACGTTAGTTAGTTCATGGGGGGTAACGAGTTAACCTTAGGGAACATGATGATGCCATTTTCGGCTGATTCATCAGTAAGCCCCACTTGAGCTTGAGGTTTGATTTCTAAGCTGCAGAAAAAGCATCCGGCTGTTTCTATCGGGGATTTTTTTTTCCTTATCGGGCGGGGATGCCGTACTAGGATTATGCCGGCTTACTGTACGGTTAATTTATTATTTGGGATTGCGTGATTAGTAGTTGCCGTAATTAAGTACAGGGGTGTAGATGTTACTTTGAAGGTGCGGGTTAGTAATGTGTTGCAGTGTTGCTGATGCCGGGATGCATACATCGATCGCTATTATGGGTGCTGACTGCTGCCCAGTAGTCCTAGTGGGTTGGAAGAAGCTGGCCAAATACCAAATGCATCATGTAAGCATACCATAGAATCTATTGACTAAGTTCAATGGCTTACAATAAAAAGTTTCCACAAATAAGCACAAAGTTATGCAAAACCTGATTGTTATGTGCAATCGCAAGCTTCAGAGCCACGCATAAAAAGGAACAACTATATATACCCTAGCTACAAAAGTATAAACCAATAGCAACCGAAAACACCGAGAGGGTCCAACACACAGGTAGCCCATAGGCTGTAGATAATTGAGAGACATGGCTGCCAAGCGTGGATGTGCTGAGACACAAATGGGGGCCAAGTGAGCAGCAGCCCTCCATTGAACATTCACTTAAAGGCAGCCGGCTGTCCACCAGTCTTACCAGGTAAAACTCTCCTCGATGAAATCCACTTGAGTTTGGTCCTGTCTCTTGCGGCATACCCGTCGAACATCATCGCTCAGGCTTCCGTTTCCACATACCAGCACTCCCATCGCTCCAACCTGGTTCTCGACCTCCATGTTGATCAGCGTGTCAACATTAGGACGACCCGGGAACATTTGAACGGTGGTGCTGGGGCTCTGGATCTCCTTGGTGTTGCGCGGGCGGGTGATGAACAGCATGATCCGAAGGACTTCGCGACGGCGGTCCATCGCCAGAATGCTGGTCATCCAGGGCCGGATCCACTCGAGGTGTTCGGGGGACTGGATGATCCAGACCAGGGTAACGCGACGGGCCGCCACGGTCCCTTCGGCAAAGCCCTGGACGAGATGCCGCACGAATGGTACTTGATGTGTGATGCCGACACCGCCTGCAAAGAGCATGACGGTGCCGTAGGAGTCCATGGTGTGGATGCTGCCGTACGGGCCTTCTGCGAACGCCCGCAAGGAAATCCGTCCACTGGGAGAGTTTTGAGCACGCTTAAAAAGTTTGTCGGTGAACCCAGTGCGGCGACGGATCAGCAAGGAGACGGTCGTCTTCTGGAGACTCGCAAGGTCTTGTTGGGTCATAGGGATGCCTTTTTCGCTTGCGGGGATTTCTTCGGCTTCGCTCCACCCGACGGAGAAGGGGTGGCTCATCCAGAAACCAATGGATGGGATGTACAAGTACATGTGTTGGCCAGGCTTGAAGGTCCACGGCCTTGCCATCTTCAGGGTGATTCGCAGGGCATCGCCCGGGAGGGTCTCGACATGCGCTGTCGTGCACTCCCTTCCGCAGTTACGGTACACAATAATGAGGATTCGGGCGGCTCTCTATAACCATGGTTAATCCTGTCTCATTCTTCAATAGGATGATGGAGGCTTACCTCGAGAGCCCAGAGGATGATGGCGGCGAGAAGGTAGTTCTGAGACACCAGGCCATCCAAGTGTATCCACAGGAAGGCGAACGAAAGCGCAACGAACGCGATGTGGAAGTGGAGGAAGGTCTCGTAGAATGCATGGCGAATGGGGGAGGGTGAGTGCACAAGAAGAGCAGTGAAGGCGCAGCCAGCCTAACAGTCAAGTTAGTCAAATTCAAGCTTGGTATTTCATAGTTGCTTACGATCAATCCACTCAGCATGAAGCTGCTCTCTCCGAAAAGCATTCCAACAAGACTCCAACCGGCTACACAATTATTAGCACATATGGTCCATACTCCGACATGGGTTGCTACTACATACCTTCCTGAGCCTTCGGGATCGCAAAAGCAAACACATGGGCGATTGCCTCCAAGACGACAATGCGAGCGAGCCAGCGGTGAATCAGATTGAAGGTGTCAAACGGCACTTGAAGCAGGGTGATCAGGGGATTATTCCTGCCGGCCATGAGCACCACCGGGATAAGGTTCACTGTCGCCATGGTTCCGGTGCGGTTGCGGATCAGGCCCGCAACCGTGGACTCCTCGGTCCCATAGGGTACGGTGACAACGCAAAGGACGACGTTCATAACGATAATGCCCACCACGATGAAGGAGTGAAACCGACTGGGCAGCGTGCCCATATTGACAGCTCGGGAGAGCTGGAACTCGCGGTTGTGGCGTGTACGGAACAACGGGGCATAGACGATATGGTTGTGGATTTTCGCGAGCATGCTGTCGGGGCGAATGAAGTACCGTTGGTGTTCATTGTTAAAACTTGCCAGTCGCCTCATATGACTGGCAAGACGATGCCACATCTTCCAGACATAGATAAAGGCAGCCATTAGGCCCAGGACCAGCAGACTGAGACGAGCGAGGTCGTCATTGAGCATCTCATAAAATGAATGACCCCCTCCATGACGCTTTCCGAGCTCTGCTGCAGAAGCAAGTCCGACCAGGGACGAGCAAAGAAGAAGAGAATGCATGTTTGTGTGTGAATTGAAAAATGAGAAGAGAAAAAGGAACGGAGAAATGTCTCGACAATCGACGTGGAGATGTACTAATAGGGGATATTTCTTGCAGGAGAGACCAGCTCTACCCAGACGGAGTTTTTTCTTCAGAAACTAATTGCAAATGAAGAAAAAAAGAAAGAAAATCCCGAGATGATCCTCGTCGATGACCCATGCAAGAGACCCAATGAGGAGTATTTGAAGTCTCTAGTTGTTGGACTGGCGTGGGGAGAGCAAGAATATCCCACGTCCAGCTGAGAGCCAGGGTTCACACCAACAAGGGTATTGTGATGGCGCTTTGTCGTGCAACGGGAAGATCACAACTTGAACAAAGACCAAGCGACAAGGCTGGTCACGGATCGAAGGGAAATACGGTAAAAAGCTTGATGTGTCTTGATTTACAGAGAATGGACGGTCGCCTGGGAACTGGGATACTTCCGTGTGGAATCTCTCGACAGTGGCGGGCAACGGAACGGAATGTTTAAGACGGAATATGAACCAGTCACACCCTTTGCTTTTTCAGCTTCAGAAAATAAATGAAAAAGGTTCTGATAAAGAATGAACAAATAACCGGTACCAACAGCCAACAATCGACCAACAGCGAGGCAGAAGCGAGCCAAATCGATTGGGGGGCGTGGGATAGGTACCCAAAAAGTAGTAGGGTTGGAAGGGAAAGAAGGGACTGACTATCCTGTAGCCGATATGTGAAGGGGAAAGCGCTTAACAAAAGGGAAAGCTGAGAAGCAGGAAAAGAGGGAAAAGAAAAAGAAAAGTCTACGAAGAAGAAGAACGAGCAGAATTGAGAAAGATCTCCAAAAGGCCAGTGCAAAACCTTCTCAATCAAGCACACGCCCTTGGCTGGATTGGAGCATTGCGGGTTAGCCAGCGACTCATCAGGGCCCAGCATCGGGGCCCATCAGTCAAGTCAGTGCATCGCGATAAGTGGAGAGAGGGAGAATGAGGTGGAACATTGGACAGGTCGAGCCATGTCACCAAGAGACGCTGGGCCCGTCCGGGTGACTCCTGTCAAATTTGCCATCCACGCCAAGCGAAGCGGATATATGAGGCCATCGATCGAGTAGTCAAGAGGAGGGGGGAAGAAGAGAGAGAGGAACAGGGAGAGGATGAGTGGGTTCCTAGATGAAACACCCCAGCGGAGGCCGGATGAGATCTCGCGGCTTGGCTGGAGGGAGTGATGGCCGTCGCCCTTGCGTTGTAGAAGTTTAACAGCCAGTGAGCGAGCCAATCTTGGCGGCGCGGGCGGACAAGAGCGGGCCCCAAGTGGATTTGGCGCGGTTTGAGGTTTGAGGATGAGCGAAAGACAAGAGTCGGAGAGAGTCAAGATAGGCAAAGACTTTTTCCCGGATGGCGAATCAGAAGAGATAATAATAGTCTAGACAGGAGTTCCTCTTCTTTCTTGAATGTGGCTATGATTAGGTTGTCGGTCATTGCCTATTTGACTGGTGATATCAGACAAGAATTACTGAGAACAGGAAACAAGCAACGATGGGAAGGAAAGAAAGAAAGAAAGAGGAGGTACCTATTCTTGGCACCGGAAGACCCGTGATCTGACTGATTGATTGATTAAGTAGGAAGATTCCTAACTATTCCTTTCTATGCTAAGCATAAACAAAGGCTCCCGAAATAAACTCTCTGCACAATCCTTTTCTTTTTTTGTACTACCATAACTCCCTCTCAGTCACATCATAAGACATTAATTTTACTGATATCAACCACACGGCACACCATCCATCTCAGCCAAGGATCGAAGGATTGTTAATGTTTTACTTTGGGGGAAAATAAGTAGTCTAGTCTATCTACTAAGTACCTTCACCAAGTTCCTATCGTCACGCCTTCCCCAAAGCAGCAGGTGGAGCAGTCCCTCATATCATTACTCACCGATTCAAGAAAAAGTGGGAATTAATATGGGATGATAAACAAACCCTCATTTCATCAATCAGAAGCAATATAATCATTCCTGGGGTTATTCGGGTAGTTGGGGAACTTGTTGGGGGAATTAATCTAATTTCATTTCGTATTTATCCTG